GGGCTGGAAGCACTGTTCCCAACAGCAAGGCAGGGGCTCCGTGAGCTACAGGAGAGGACAGGGCTCTGGGAGGCTCCGGTTCACTGCTGTGGAGCCACAGATCAGAACTGCCCCTTCTGCCTGCCTTCCACTCCAGCACTATGATCATTTCCACATCTGATGTATGATCTCATTCCCCCTGGCACCCGCCCGTGGGAGAGCTCTCCTCCCCCTAGAGGGGGCCTCAGCCTCCATGGAGACAGATTCCCCCACATTCCCTCCGACCTTCCCACCCACCCACCCCTCAGGGCTCCGTCAGGCCACTTCCAGTGTCCCCCAGTAGTGTTCTCTTGTCCCTGGGACACAGGGGCATCCCTGCCTGGGGTATGCAGACAAGGGCACCCCGAACACGTCTGACCTACCCACCTAAGACTCCCTGGAGACCTGCCCAGCTTCACAACCATGAGGCTCCCCCACACCTGATCGCATCTTCCTGGGAGAAATAAAACAAAGACAGCACCACCACGTGGGACTGAGTCGGCCACTGGACTTCAAAGCTCTGGGTCCCGGGTCCCGGGCACGAGAAAAGGAAAATGCCTAAACTCCTGGAAGGGTGGGGGTCTGAGCGAGGAAGGAGGGCCAGGGCGTGGCAGGCCTGTGCTCCTGCAGCCTCAGACTTTGAGCCCGCTGGCCCCGCCAGGTAGGATCAGGTTGACCTCAGGGTGGGGCGGGGCCAGGCGGAGGGGATGATCTCATTGCATCCTTAGGACCAGGAGGAGAAAGTAAGGTGGTGGAGAGACAAGGAGAAGGATGAAAACGGGAAGAAAGACCAGGAAAGCCGAAACTGTCAAACACAGGGCAGCTCCAGGCTTGAAAGGGGTCTTCGGGTCAAAAGCAGTTCCAGGGGAGACCAGGTTCCAAGCCAACCCTTTCTCCCTCAGCAACAAAACATTTTAATGCAAAAATAACTCACCAGGGACCTCCCTCCGACACTGCCTCTCTCCTGAGCTCTGGAACAAAAGTGAGGATCCCACCCTGGCCCCTGCCCCTCGCCAAGCACCGTCCCCTGCCTCGCCCTGCTTCCCCCAAGGCTTGACAAAGTTTAAATGACTGAGTGAAACCAAAGGCAACACAAAGGGCCCGGACCCTCGCCTCTCCTCTCCGTGGCTGCTGTTTTGCTTCTTTCTTTTGTTTGAAAACCTCCGACCCTTTGCATCTCATGTCTTCTTACCTGCAGTCCAGTTCGAAGCAAGCGAGCTGCTCTCTCCTCACTCCCTCAATTAGTGGTACCCTGGGCTTCTCTCAACATCAGCACCACTGCTCGCCTCTCGCCATGACATCACCTCCGAGCTCTCTGATTGGCCAGCAGTAGGTTGCTTGGCAATTGGACAGTCTCCTCTGGTGGAGCGGGGATTGCCTGAGCGAGTAACTCTTAGCAGGCCAGGGAGTGGGAGATGATGTCAGACAAAGGGCTGCTTTCCCCCACTGCCCGTGGAGCCGGGGAGGCAGAGAGTGAGGGTGGCGAGAGGGAAGGGAGGAAGTGGTAGGGGGAAGGTGGGGGGAGGCACAGCCCGCACACTGGGGGAACCATGAATGATTTGGGGAATCTTTAGCTCCTTCAAATCTGGGGGTGAGAGAATATGGAATCTAGAGAAGCAAGAAGATAGAACAGATGAACCCTAAAAATAGCTTCCCAAAAGGCTGGATGCCTGTTTCCAGCTCTGTCAGAAGGCTGGTGGGTTAGGACAGTGACTCACAAGGTGGGAAGGGGCTGCAGAGAGCCCAGGCCTGGAGCTGGCAAGGGCTTCATGCAGGGCTCCCAGGAGAGCAGGGCTTCCCCCTGGCGGCCCTCAGGAGGTGTCAGCCACATCTGTGTTGTGGCTTTTGCCCAGGACCAGTGGATCCTCACAGCCCACATGACCAGCCTGGGTCTACCAGAGGGAGCCACAGGTAGGAGCCCAGACTAATCTTTACCCTGGAGGTTCCTAAATGTGGTGGGATCCTGGGGGGAGGGGATGGTCATCTACAGTGCCTTCCGTGCCCTCGGGGAACCAGGGAGCCCCTGATGCAGGAGGCTCAGCTGCTCACTGTCAGCCTGTGGGCAGGAGGGGGCAGGTGCAGCTGGAGGGTTGAGGTGCCCTGCAGAGCAGGACTCCTCCTGGGGGCGCCTCCATGTGACCATCCTCGCTTTCCACCGCCCAACATTCCTCACTCAGTTTTCTTGGGAAGGACTGACTTTCAATTGTGGCAAAACATTCAAAACGTAAGTTTTGCCCTTTTTCCAGTGTGGGGAATCAAATCCAGGGCCTTGCACATGCTAGGAGAGTCCTGTACCACTGAGCCTCATCCCAGCCCAATGACATTGTTAAGTATCCCATTCATTCACTGGCACTATATACAATCAGTGTTGTGTGACTGTCACCAACCATCTCCCGAAGTTTTTCATCTCCCCGACATTCATCAGTAACCATTAAAACTGCCCCTTTCTCCCTAACCTCTAATCTACCTTCCAACTCTATTAATCTGCCTGATTCTAAGTATATCATACAAGTGACATCATGTAGTGTTTGTCCTTTTGTGTCAGGATTCTTGCACATGACTTGATGACTTTGAGCATCATCCCTGTGCAGTGTGTTTCAGAATGACATCACCTCACCTCAGTATGACATCATCTCACCTTGGTATGACATCACCTCCCGTCAATGCCATCATCCTCACCCTCGACCACCACACCTCTGGTCACTGAGACTGCACATAATGATTAAAGGTTACCTTGAACTCAGCCCATGCTTTGACATCCTTTTTCTAACTACAACAGCATTGTCGAGGATCTGAAGGTGGCCTGCTGAATGTAGAGGACGTGTGGAATGTTTGCTCTGCGGAGACCCCGGCCTGCTTCCCACAGCTGGAGCCCAGGCCCTGCGGGCTTCTGCAGGAGGGTCCACATGGACATATGTCTCCCAAGACGACTCCTCATCAGGACTCAAGGACGCTTGTCAGGGGACCTGGGGGTGTCAGAATGACCGACAGCCCGGCCTGACGTTGGGGTTTGCAGCGCATGCAGCTATCCTCTCCTGAACTCTCCCCACAGGCTGCAGGGACAGCAGGAGAGACGTCATTCTGCTCCACATTCAGTGAGTATCCTTGAACAACACACTCTCCATGCGTTGTCACAGGCCACCACCCAGGACCCTCAGGCCAAGCTGGCCCATGTCAGAGGGAACTGAAACGCCTGAGGGTAGCAGAAGCATTTCCTTCAGGGTGTGGAGGCAATAGAGGCCGCACCGCATGCCAAGCCGGGATCTAGAATCTAAGCAAACCTCAAAGGCACGTCTGCCCTGGCTGTCAGGAGCCCTCTCTCCTTCCCCACCTGCCTCTCCTCCCAGCCCTGAGGAGCTGAACTCCACAGATCTGCTGGCTCTGAAAAGTGAGGGAGGGGGAGCGGAGACAGGGGGTTGCCATGGTGATGGCAGCCAATAAGAGATCCTCTGCTGCCAGGGAGGGAGGCACCGGGTGGAGCCCCCCATCCTGACTGGGAAGGAGAGTGGGGTGGGGACAGTGGGGGTGAAGGGGAGCAGGACATCACTACCCGAGAGCAGAGACCAAGGGGGAAAGAGGAGAAGTGGGGAGGCCTGCTCCATTTCTCTCTAGCTGCTGTTTGAGTGCTAGGTTGTGGTGGGCAACACACACACACACACAAAATCTGTACAGGGAGCATCTACCCCATTTATAACAAATAGACACTCTGCAAACAAACTCACCTGTTAAGGATGAGGCCTCAATTTGAATGTTGGGGCAGAGAAGGGAAAATAATATTGGAAAGAGAGGGAGTGAGGGGTGGGCAGAGCTACTGCCTGGAAATCTTCCCAGTGGGAGGAGAGTCCTGGGGCTTCCTGGGGTGAGGCAAAGCCACCTGCAGCAGTGATGAATAGAAAAGCACACAGCTAGTAGGAAACTGGACAGGGACAGGCATCGGGGACAGGCATCGAGTCCAAAGGAAAGGGGTGAGGAGAGACCAAAGGAATCAGCGAGGTCAAAGCTAGGAAGCTTGCAAGGGTGGCACTGAGACCAGGGACGGAGGAGAGGCTGGGCAGGGGCTGAGCTCGTCACACCTTGGTGCTCAAAGCTCCCAGGAGCTTTGCTGAAGAAGACGAGGCCAGAGACTGTCCCTGCACCTGCCGAGTCAGTGTTGGGTGGGGCGGGTAGGTGTTTAATGGTCAGTGTTGGGTGGGGTGGGTGGGTGGTGATTGGTTCCCTAGGTGCAGCCTCTGGACCTGTCAAGGTGCGGGGGGGCCCCCCCAGACACGCAGATCCACGCCCCTGCCTCTGCGCAGACTCTCACAGCTCCTCACAGCTCAGGCTGCACTGTGGCAACAGCATTCAGACCTGAATCTCCACACACTGCCAGGCTGCACCGTGGGGACCCGATTCATTTATCTCTAACCAGGAATCCAAAGGCAACCGCTGCCCAATGACCTGATCACCCTGTAATCAACACTTGCAGCCACTGAGGCACTAGGAGCACCCCGTCCCCAAAGGGACCCCTGCCTGTGACCCAGGTAGTTCTACTGAAGACCAATTGGGTAGTCTCCCTGGGGATGTTCACGGAGCCTCTGACCTCTTTCTAACCCTCAGAAAATGGGGTGTTTGCCTCACTTCAGAAGACCTGATCAACACACGTGTGTCCCTATCACTGGCACCAGTGCGATTTGTAAAAACATATAACATAAATGGGTGTTTATTTTCTGCCTTTACTTTAGGAGGAGACAAAGGTTTGGGGGATTTATGTAGAATTAGTTGAACTGACAATTCTCAGGAATTTACTTAACACTAAGGAAAAACATGTACACATGACGTCACTTTTTGAAACATGAATGCTTATTTCACTGACTCAGAAGCCCCTGCGACGCCAGTGGCTTACATTTCTCTCAGTAAATTGAGACACAAATAAATGCAGTCAATTAGAATTTAAGCAATGTGTATTGTCCGTGCTGTTTGTTTATGCCAACGATTAGATTTGTAAACTAAATTGCATTGGCAGATAATGTTTATAACAAAATATACTCTGCTTAGAAAAACAAAACATTTATCAAGTAAGCTAAGACCTGGATGTCACTAGAGAACAGTGCCTGGCACAACTACAGGCTTAATAAATGTCAGCCATTACTGTGATTGTCATTAAGTACAACACAGACTACCCATAAGTCTCAGTCGTGCAAGTAGCAGAAGCCCATTTCAAATTTGTTTTTTTAAGAAAAGTTTATATTAAAATTTAACAGTAAAACATTTAAAAATACACAATCCTATTAGAAAATGGACAGTGGATATGAAGAGAGGTTTTATCAATGAGAATATACAGATAGCATATACACACATGAGAAGGTATTCAACAACACGCCAGTAAGGGAAATACAAGTGTAAGTCTCTGGGAGCAATCACAACATACTTATTAAAAGAGTAAAATAAAAGTAGTTGCAACACCAAATGCTAGTGAGTGTGCAGAGAAACTAGATCAGTGAGATGTTGCTGGAGGGAGTGGAAAATGGTACTCCAGAAAACAGTTTGGCAGATTAACACACACTTACCAGATGTGTTTGTCAGCTTTTCACTGCAGTGACAAAATACCTGAGATAACTTAAAAGAATGAAAGGTTTACTTTGGCTCATGGTTTCAAAAGGATTCCATCCATGGTTGGCTGGCCCCATTGTCTCCGGGCATGTGGTGAAGTGGATCATCATGGCGCAGGGCCAGGGTGGAGCAGAGCTGCTTACCTCCCTGCAGCAGCTGGGAAGCAGACAGAGTGGGGGTGGGCAGTAAGGTCCAGGGACAAAATACACCCTTCAAGAGCAGCCCCCGGGTGACCTGCCTCTTCCAGTTAGGCCCCACCTCCCAACATTTCCACTACCTTCCAATAATGCCACCAGCTGGGGACCAAGCCTTCCACACAGGAAGCTTTGGAGGACATCTCAGATCCAAACCACAACACCAGGGGACCAGGCAATTGCTCTCCTCAGCATTGTTCCCGGGGAAATGAAAACTCATATCCACACAAAAATCTGTGTACAAATGTTAGAGCAGTTTTATTCATAATAGCCCCAAACAGGAAATAATCCAGAAGGCCCTCAAGAGGTGAACGGCTACACAAACAGTAGATCCACACCACGGATACTTACCGATGGGCCTTAAAAAGGAATAGACTCCTGCTGCAGTGACTTGAATGATCTTTGGGAGTTATGCGGGGGGTGGGGGGAGGACGGCCTGTCTCAAAGGGTTACAAGCTATTTGATTCCATGGATAGAACAGTCACAAAAAGACGAGATGACAGAGGTGAGAAACAGATTGGTAATTATCAGGGCTTAGGAATGGGGGCAGAGGGAGACTAAAGAGGTATCAGATAAAGGAATCCTCCTGGGACGGAGCAGTTTTGCATCTTGAGGGTGGCGGCGTCTACACAAATCAATGTGGGGCCTGAAATGGCCCAGGACGCACTCTACCACTGTGGGCTCCTAGTCCTGACATGGTACTGCAGTTACCTAAATTGCAACCCTGGGGGAAACTGAGAGTAGGGAACATGGGGCCTCTCTGTACTATCTTTGCAAGTCCTTCTGAATCTATGATGATTTCAATATAGACAGTTACCAAAAAAGAAAAAGTAAAAAAAGGAGTCGAGACTATTTCATGGAACCCAAAGATGGTTCCACCCCAGAAATGAGTCAGGCAAGCAATCACGAAGCAGCTCTGCATCTCTCTCGCCCCCCAGCCCACCCCGGCCCGCTTGGCAGAGACGCCTGCTTCTCTGCAGACCACCTTTCTGCTGTTTGTGCCCATGGCTGCCACTGCTAAGTAGAGGCACTGGCATCTTTGTAGTCAGGCCACACAGAGAAATCCATTTGCTGTCTCCTAGATCCGATTCAAAATTCCCAGAAAAATAAAATCTTCCAGCCCTGCATGGGCCAGGTTTCCATACCAAGGTCCACGGCAGAAGGGCCCATGTGCATTTCTACCTGCCGACACCTGCTCCTCCTCGGCTCCTGTTGCACACAGAGGTGAGGCTTGGGTCCCAGGCAAGGCCCCTTTCTCCTCCAGGAGAAACTCATCCAGCCTGTAGAGGAAATGCAACCACCCACCCTGAGTCCCACCTGCTGGGAACCCTAGGAGGAAGGCTGGACACAGCCATATCGCCTTCCCACTTAAAAACAAAAGAGGCAACTCCAGGCCCACAGCCACGCGTTGGTCACCAACTTGAGGTGCACATTAGCTCTGGCAGGACACCTGACAAAGCTCATGGCCGTCTGCATGTTGACCCCTGCTGGCACCTGGAGCGGGTCCCTTGGTAGCCAGTGGTGCCAGTCCATCTTCTGTCCATAAAGATATTGCCCTTCTCCAGGGTCCTTCACAGCCACCCTGGGGCAACTTTGGGGCAGAATTAACTGGCTGTGGTTTCCTGACTCCTTCTGCAGGGAGCTGGCAGCCTCCAGGACTGGGCCTGTGCTCTCCCAAAGGCCCAAAATGCCTAGCAGTGCAGTTGTGTCCATCTAAAGACCCTGTTGTCCAGGCTACGGTTTTCTTGGCAACAAAAAAACCTGTAAAATCTTAACTGGCAGCCCGTCGATTTAATTTAGGGAGTCTGCGTTTGCTCAAAGCCGTCTCCAGACAGCTTGCTAAGCAGGACAGCCAGAGCTGGGCTGTGCCTGTGGGCTTCAGTTCTTAGAAGGAAGCTGGAGGGCTGTGCCCGAGTTCCCTGCCTAATGAATTTTGCCTTCGGGTGTGGAGGACACCAGCAAAGAAATTCTGCCTCTGCCGGGTTGGCTCTGTGAGCTTCCCAAACCAGGTCCTAAAGTACAGTCCATGGCGAGAGGCATCCCACCCTGGTCTTGCGGGAGGACACCACAGAAGGCGTCGGAAGCACATGGGAAGGATCAGGGTTCCCCAGTTCCCCCAGCCCTTCCTGGGTGTCCTTGTTCCAATTGCCAGAACCTCCCTGTTTCATAATTGGCGTGCCAATTTTAGTTCTGGATGTAGGTTGCTGCAGAGTGTAACAGCTGCAGCTCAGTCAGTCCTGTGATTACCTTCTAGGATGGACTCTCTGTGGTCTCCGATCCTATACCATGAGCAGAGAGGCCTTCAGGAGCAGGGTTGCATAACTGACCTGATTGTCGATATCCTTTTGCAGTGACAGTCTCAAACTTGACACTTCCCCGGGCACCTTGCTGAAGCCCCAGGGGGTCTCCAGCACAACCTGACATCCTTCATCCTGACCTTCTGAGCCCCTAATGCCTCAGTCTCATTAGAAAAATTCTCCAAGATCCAAAACCCATCCAACACTCATTTCACTAGTGATTTCAGTCTGATGGTCACCGATGGCCAGCTTTCTGTTCCAGCATCATGGAATCCAAGTGTCCCCACCCCTGAAATGGGTCAGCTATGTGGTCAAGTGCAGCTTCATTTCCTGGTTGCACCTTATTCCAAGTTCATTTGGTTATAAATGAACAGGAAACTACTCCAAATTACCATGAGCAAAATCAGAAAATTTATTCAAGTTTAAGGGAACATCACATAGAAACCAACACACAAAGGACAGCTGGGATGGAGCCAGGAATTGAAAGCTAACAGAACCTGGAAGTCCCAGGCTCTATCTCCCGAACTCGTGCTCTCCGTACCCTTTCATCCTGTGTCTAAAAGGCTATTTTTCCTCCCACCTCATGACAGCCTGTAAACAGGCAGAACTCCCCAGCCCTGACCATTCTGTGTTTCCTAGCTTGGAAAGACAGACCAGTCTTCTCTTTATCCCAACTCCAAAATATCCAAGCAAGAGAATCTCTCTGGCTCAGCTCAGGACAGATGCGTGTGTGTGGTGCCTGGGATTTGGGCCAGTGGGTTGGTGTCCTAGTGCAAATCTGCATGGAATGAGAGTCCTGCTCTGGGTGAGGCCAAGTGGGTAGTGGAGGGCCAGTAGGTGCGCTGCCTCAGGATTAGCAATCACCGATGAGACAGGAATGTTGTGCACATCATCTAAACGTCTTTGAACACAAGGTCACTGCAGAACACTTGAATTAGGTTGGACTGAGAAAACTGGGGTTGGGAAGAATGTTTG